ATTTGATTTGGTGGAAAATCTGGCTTGTGTATTTCTACAAACTCTCTCAATTCCTTGATACTGTTCAAGCTCTTTGACCTTCCCTTCTTTATCAATGCATACAGGTTGTTAAGCCCCATATTATATGATTCTTAAACCTTTTTTATATCTTCTGTTTCCACCACATATCCATTTCAAAAGGAGGCATTTTCTCAATTACTTAGCTCTGTACCTTTCTTCTGAACTGTGGTATTATGACCTTTTCAATAGCTCTTCTTAACAACAGGTACCAAAAACAAAGATTAAAGTCTTCCTCAGCACAGGAAATAAAATGTCCAAAATGATTCCTGTTACATCATCTCTGTGGAAAGTTTTTAAACTTTGAATTTAATCTATTTACTAGTTATGTTTTTATTCAGATTTTCTATTTGTTTTGGTTTGTTTTGTTTGTTTTGGCAGCTGGCCAGTAAGGGGATCTAGCTCTTGACCTTGTTGTTATCAGCACCACACTTTAACCAACTGAGCTACTGGCCAGTTCTGTTTCTTTTTGAGTCACTTTCAGTAGCTTGTATGTTTCTGGAAATTGTCGATTTTATCTAAATTATCTAATTTGTTAGTTTATTGTTGTTCATAATCTCTTTAACCCTTTTTATTTATTTAAGGTTGGTATTAATGTCTCTTCTTTCATTCCTAATCTTAGTACTTTGAGTCGTACCTTTTTTGGTCTGTCTAGCTAGAAGTTTGTCAATTTTGTTCATCTTTTCAAAGAACCAACTTTTGGTTTTATTGTTCTTTATTGTTTTGGGGGAGGAATTTTTTGCAGCTGGCTAATACAGGGTTTGAACCCTCAACCTTGTTATTATCAGCACCATGCTGTAACCAGTTGAGCTGACTGACCAGCTCGTGTTCTTTATTGTTTTTTTATACTCTATTTCACTTATTTCTGCTCTAGTCTTTATTTTTCCTTTCTTCTGCTTGCATTGGGTTTAGTGTGATCTTCTTTTTCTAGTTTTTTTTTGGTGTGTGTAGAAGGTTATCAATGAGGTTTTCTTTTTGAATATCAGCATCTACAGCTATAAATTTCCCTCTGAGTACTGCTTTCAGTGTATCTCATAAATTTTGGTATGTTGTATTTTTTTTTTTTTTTTTAAAGATGACCGGTAAGGGGATCTTAACCCTTGACTTGGTGTTGTCAGCACCACGCTCAGCCAGTGAGCGAACCGGCCATCCCTATGTGGGATCCAAACCCGGGGCCTTGGTGTTATCAGCACCGCACTCTACCGAGTGAGCCACGGGCCGGCCCTGGTATGTTGTATTTTTAATTTTCACTCAACTCAAAGTATTTTCTAATTTCTCATATGATCCTTATTTGATCCATTGGTTATTTAGGAATATTGTTTTATTTCCACATATTTTTAAATTTGTAAAAATTTTTTCTCATTAATTTCTAATTTAATTCCATTGTAGGTAGATAACATACTTTGTATGATTTCAGTTCTTTTAAATTTGTTAAGGCTTGTTTTATAGCCTAGCATATGATCAATACTGGAGAGTTTTCCATATGCACATAAGAAGAATGTGTATTTTGCTGTTGGAGGGTAAACATTCGTTTTACAGATGTCTTGTTAGGGCTTGTTGGTTTATAGTTGGTTCAAGTCTTCTATTTCCTTGTTGATCATCAGCCTAGTTGTTGTATTACTGAAAGTGGGGTATTGAAATCTCCAACTAATATTAAATTGTCTATTTCACCCTTGAATTCTGTTCATTTTTGCTTTTATATTTTGAGATTGGTTGTATTGTTAGTTGCATATGTGTTTATATGTCCTGAAGGACTGACTCTTTTATCATTCATTATAAAATATCCCTCCATCTCTAGTAGCATTTTTTAAAGTATATCTTGTCTGACATTAGTATAGCCACTTCAGCTCTCTTATGGTTGCTGTTTGCATAGTATCTTTTTCCATCCTTTTAGTTTCAACCTATTTGTATCTTTGAATCTAAAGTATGTTTCCTGAAGACAGCATGTAGTTGGATCTTGTTTTTTCATTTAATCCATAGTCTCTGTCTTTTGCTTAGATTATTTAATCCATTACATTTAATGTTATTACTGATGTGGCTGAATTTACAGCTGCCATTTTTCCCCCATATGTCTCTCTTTCTCTCTCTCTCTCTCTCTCTCTCTCTCTCTCTCTCTCTGTATTATTTTTTTTGTTGTTGTTCATCTATTTCTCCTTTGCTGCTGCCTTTTGTATTAAGTGGATATTTTCTAGTATATTGGATTTATCTCATGGATATTTCTAGTATAACATTTTAATTTCTTTAAAGATTTTTAAAATTATTTTTTCTATTTTCTTTGTGATTACTCTAGGGCTTACAATATACATGCAAACTTATCAAAATCTACTTAAGATTTATACTGTTTAAATATAAGAAAACACTACTCCTGTATAACTCCATTCCCTCTCCCCCTTTTTGTGTTAATATTGTTATATGTGTTACATCTATATATGTTAGAATCTTAAGAAATCATTGTTATGCTTGAATTACTTAAAAAAGAGAAGATGGTGCAAGTATATATTTACAGAGTTTGTTATACTGATCTTCTCATTTACCTTATCTATCTTTCTTCATTTCTTCCTGTGGATTCCAGTTTCTGGTATAATTTTCTTACCCAATACAACTTTTTTCCCACCCACCTCCTTTGTGCTGTTGTTATTACATTTCTATATCTTGAACTCCAACAATACATCTATATAAATAATGTTTTATGCAATTGCTTTATAAATCAGTTAAGAGATGAAGTATTCAATTATACTGTCTTTTTGATTACTAACATAATTACTTTTACTCTTTGTCCATGTGATTCAAATTACTATCTGGTGTTACTTGCTCTCAGCCTTAATAACTCCCTTTTAGTATATTATTTCTTGTAAGACAGGTCTGCTAGCAGTGAACACTGTCAGCTTTTTTTTTTTTTTAATCTGGGAATTTATTGTGCCTCTTTTGTTGTTTTGTGTTTTTTGCCTTCATTTTTGAAAGATAATTGCTGCTAGCTATAAGTTTCTTGGTTAATAGTTTTCTACTTAACTGCACATTAAATAAATTATCTCACTCTTCTGGCCTCCATTTTTTCTGATGGTCAGTCAGCTGTTAATCTTATTGGAATTCCAATGGGCATGATAAGTCATTTTTCTCTTATTGCTTTCAAGATTTTCTGATCTATGGTTTTCAACATTTTTACTATGATGTTGGATATGGATCTCTTTGCATTTATCCTACTTGGAGTTTGTTGAGTTTCTCAAGTATATGGATGAGTGTTTTTCATTAAATATGGGGAGTTTACAGTCATTATTTCCTTGAATATTTTTTCTGCTCCTTTCTCTCCTTTTATTCTTGTACTCCCATTACATGTTATGTTGGTCTGCCTGATGGTATCCCACATTTTTCTGAGGCTTTATTCATTTTTCTTCATTCTTTTTTTCCTCTCTGTTCTTCAGATCACATAATCTCTATAAGTTTGCTGATTCTTTTGCCAGCTCAAATCTATTGTTGAACCCCTCAAGTGAATTTGTCATTTTGTTTGTTATACTTTTAAACTCCAGCATTTCCATATGGTTCTCTTTTTATAATTTGTGTCATTACTGATATTCTCTATGTGATGAGTCATGGTTTTCCTTAGGTCTTTGAACATATTTATAATAGCTGCTTCAGAGTCTTTGTCTGCTAATTTTATCATCTCAGCCCCCTCAAAGGCAATTTCCATTGCCTGCTTTTTTTCTTGTGAATGAGTCACAATTTACTCTTCCCCCCGCTAATATTTGTCTAAAACTGGACATTTTATTTTATTTTATTTTTTTCCTTTTTGTCTTTTTTCGTGACCGGCAACGGATCGCAACCCTCAGTGTCGCGCCCGTACCGGACCAGGACTGGCAACGGGATCGCAACCCTCCGTGTCGCACCCGCACCTCGCTCAGCCAGTGAGCGGGAACCGGTCTGTATGTGGGATCTGAACCCTCGGCGGGAGCGCCGCCACGCTCCCAAGTGGCGCACCGCAGCAGTGCGCCACTGGGCCGGCCCCTAAAACTGGACATTTTAGATAATATATTATGCAACTCTGGATTAGCTGTTATACCCTCCCCCTCAGCAGGATTGATGATGTTTGCTTGGTCATTTGCTTATTAATTTAGTGATTTGGCTGAAGTAGCTCTGTGAAGTCTATTTTCCCTGTAGTGTGCAGTCTCTGATGTCTCTGCTCATATTTTTTATCCTTGTTTTCATCTTTTAGCCTAATTTCCTAGGTGTTGCCACTGGGTTAGCATAAACCACTTATTAGTCAAAGGTTGTGCTTAAGCCCCTTTAGCCAATTACATTTTTTACTTTACTTTTGGACCCTTTTTTACCTTTACTTTTGGATGTGTGTGTGATTTTGACACAGCTGTAACAATTCATGGAATTTACATTTTTTGCCCCACATTCAGTGAGAGACTAGTAGCTTGAAACTTCCTTTTCTGATTTCCTGCAAGAGAGAGTTCAGCCTTGGATATGCACATCATCTTCTGGACTGCCAGGGATGTGTGTGATTTTATTTTAAAATCTGGCTTCCTAGAAGCTGCCTCTAGGTTAGAGTAGCTTATTGTTCAGCCAGTGTTTGGTTAGAGGTTGTACTTAAACCCCTAGTGCCAGTAAAGCTTCCACCCTTTGTTGATGGGTCTATGTGTGGCCTGGGGAATATGTCCACGTCAAGCCTCACATCCTGCCTTGATTGCTCCTGAGTGGGTGCAGCCTACTGAAAGCATGCAGTCTTCCCAACCACTGGGTTGATCATGTTCCTATTCAGATCCCCACACCTGCCAGCCACCAAAGGGGGGAAAAAAACAAAAAAGGACTAAGAATTAAATGGATTGAGGAACGAATGGAGATTATACTTTTAAAAATTTTAACCATATTCAAGGTTCCAAATAACTACTTTTTCATTTTGTTTTTCTCTTTCTGTTCATTATGTCCTGTTTTTTTCCTTATAGGTGAGACCTGGAACCCGTTCAAATTACAGTACCAGCTGAGAAATGTACGAGAGCGAACTGCAAAAAACTTAGTAGAGAAGGGTATTCTAACCACTGAGAAGCAGAATTTCCTGCTGTTTGACATGACTACCCATCCAGTGACCAATACAACAGAGAAACAGCGACTAGTGAAAAAGCTTCAAGATAGCGTACTAGAGCGGTGGGTAAATGATCCTCAGCGTATGGACAAGCGAACACTAGCACTCCTGGTGCTAGCCCACTCCTCCGATGTGCTAGAGAATGTCTTCTCCTCTCTGACAGATGACAGGTATGATGTGGCAATGAATCGAGCCAAGGACCTAGTAGAACTGGACCCCGAAGTGGAGGGGACAAAGCACAGTGCCACAGAGATGATCTGGGCTGTGCTAGCAGCCTTCAATAAATCCTAAAGCCGGAAGGTGGGTTTCTCCTTTTCTCCTGCTGGCTGGTGACTGTCAGAGACTCCATCATTGATTTTTGTGTAATGGGATGTGTTTTCATTTTTTTTTCCTTCTCTTAAATCAGACTCATGATTTGAGGAGAGCAACTTCAGGGCTTCTCCAGAGACCTTGACCTTTATAAGCAGACTTTATTTCTCCCTATACTTCTACTCCATAGGTAGAATAAACTGAGTGAACCCACACACACCCAATAAACATTTTCTTCCATTTCTTGGTTTAGTTTCATCCAGTCTGCTTTTGGATAAACAGGACTATCTAAGTGGCATTTGGAGTTCTCTAGCCACACAATATGAATGAGATAAAGAGCAAACCATTTATTATATTTTTCTAAGTTTGTTTTCTATCTTAAATACATGTTTTCACAGCCTTTGTCTCAATGTTTTTCTCTCAGATTTGGCTAAATAATGTAGCTTATTGAAATAACTTTCTTTGAATAAGGGGCAATGGAAACAAAACTAATTTTTGAAGCAGATGGTCTCTGGGATTGTATGTTCTGCTAGTGATTTTCTCATCTTTCTTTTTCTAACCTAATGAGAATGTACCAAATTTGATTACCTGGATCTCAGTCCTAGAGCCAGAAATATATTCTTTACCCCCTCTTAGAATTACCATGCTCCTTGATTCATTAGGATAAAAGTCTAAATTTAAAAAAAAAAAAAATTCTCTCAATTACCTCCTTCATGCCATCAGCATTAGAATTTGTAAGGGAGGGAGGTGGCATGAGAATTTCCATCCTTTAGCATATGACTTTCCTGTTTTCTCCAGACTACTTTCAGTGTCTCTGCACTGATTGAATTGAGGGTACTGTTAAGGTTCAATTGCCAAATAGCAGCACCCTGAGTCAAGACAGTGTAAATGAACTCCAGATATTGTTCCTTATTTTTTTTTTTTTTTTGGCTTCCTACCTAAATTGATAAATTCTGTCTATGTTTAACGGTTTGGAGAGTTGTTTTGTTTATATTTAGTCCATAAATACCCTCTTACTCATCAGTCTTGTTTCAACACAACTATCTTTCTGGCCAAATCTTTAAATGTTCTTCACCCACAGTGAGGGCAAAGAGAAGCTTTATTAAGAAAGATCCCCATACCGGCCAGCCACCCAGAATAATAAATAAATGAATATCCTGTTTAGAGGGGCAATTTATTGTCAAAAGTATACTGATTATTAAGTCCAGTATTTGGGGATGTAAAGAGGACAGGCACTGAGTTGTGCTAATGTCAAGCATTTATTAACTGGATCCTGACTCTTGAGCATTACAAAGAAACAGGTTGTCGAAGGGTTAATACAGTTGACCCAGACCCAACATCAGATCCTCCTGATCAGAAGTAATTTACTGAATGATTGTAACTTCATCTCCTCCCCCAACCATACCTACCCCCACAAAAATTCCCCAACTCAACAGTTTTTTTGTTTTTCTCTTCAGGTATCTCTTGGTGGATAGAGATACAAACTGTAAAGTGAAACAAATTCTAACTTTGAGGCCGAGTAGAGCTTCGGTCTGGCTCTCTAAAAGTACAAAAGCCAGTCTATGTGTTGTCTCTACCTGACTTAGCTTTTCTTTCAGTTTGAACAATTTGGCATGAATTGAAACCAGGTTTTCCTGTGGAAAGTTTCAGCTTGATTAGGAGATGGAATTTGAGTTGAATTCTTTCTTACAACTCTTAGTGTTTATTTTTATATTGTATCTCAACAAGATGAGGATGTCTTCAGTTTGAATCTGCAAAATATTCACTGCCAACCACCTTCTCATTTAATGCATATGTCCTTCACATTTCTGTATAATAAAAATCAATTATTGGCTCTCTGCCCTCTCTGTACATAGTTTTATAACTTCGTTTGTTTTCATTGGAAATAAAAACTTTTCACACAAGGCTAGTAATGTCTCCCCTTTTACATTAGCATACCAGTCTCTGTTTTATCCTGTGTAGAAAATGAGGGATACAAAAATATTATAATTGTAAGATGTATAAGCTGGGGAGCAGGGCACATCAAGACTGACCTGAATACCAGCTAATGTTGTAAAGTCTGAATAGTGTCTCCATTTCAATCAAAATAAGTTACCCAGTTATACCATTACTGCCATGAAAAGAATGAGTATGCTCTGTCTATATCTACTTGCAAGCAACACCTGAATTTATCTAAGAGCTGAAAGTCTTAAGTTCCAAATGTAGGTAACATACCTAACTATAACAGTTAACAGGATGTAAAAATATAGTTGTACTTATAATTGGCATATTGTTCTTCCTTTCTTTAGAGTATCTACAGCACAAGGGACAACAAGAAATTTATTTACTAGGTTTGTTTATACTTTCCTGTTATTTAAGACAAAGCACTGTTCCCAGAAGTCATGCTTTATACAATGTTTCTCAAAGTGTGTTGCAAAGACCATTGCACCAAAATTGTGAGGGTGTATGTGTGGGGAAGGTACCTTACTAAAATGCAGATTCCTGGTAAATCTGTCTCTGGGGTTCGTGGCTTAGGAAAGGTGCATTTTAAACAGTCAACACTTGCATATTAGAATTTGAGAACACCACTCTACATTTTATTTCCTAAAATTCATTCATCCAAAAAAATATCAAGGTTGGCCAGTTAGCTCAGTTGGTTAGAGCACAGCCTTATAACACCAAGGTCACAGGTTCAGATCCCCGTACTGGCCAGGGCAAAAAAAAAAAAAGAGTCCGGACAAATTCACTGATGCTTGCAGGTGCTGACAATAAAAAGTTGTATAGAACATAATTCCATCTCTCAAGGACAAAATTTAAGTGGGCAAATGAGATGGTTTGTGATAAATGCTCAAATAGAAGCATAAACGTATTATTTGGAAGCACAAAGAAAGAAAACATTCTTCCTGGGAATATAAGGAAAGACTTTGAGGAGTTATATTTCTTTCTAGTGGCTATTATATATTGAGCACTTTTGTTGTGAAGTACTATGCTAACTGCTTTATACAGTACTTTATCCCATTTATTTCTTACAACAGTAAGACCTCCTACGAGGCTCTTTTAAAGAAAACTCAGAGGTAATGAGGCTTGCCTGAGGACACTGCAGAGCTTGAGTTCAAACACATGCCTTTAACCACTACACTCCCCTGCCTCCCTTTGAACTCAGTCTTGAAGGATCTTTTCAGGCTGATAAGGAAGAGCGGAGGCTAATCCAGGCAGGGATAACAATATGTACAAAACAATTAGTAATGTGCTAGAATTTTATGAATGTGTGTACTTTTCACATATTTCCAGGAAATATTCCTAGGGAATATGTTCAAGTCATAGACTAAACAGAGGTTTTTAAAACTTGCAAATTATCTTTTTTGTTTGTTTGTTAACCTTATTTATTCCTTTTCTGATGCTTTTCTTTATATAGAACTGAGTTTCTGACATATCATTTTCCTTTTCCCTTAATAACTTCTTTTAACATTTCTTACACAGTAAGTCTACGGGACATGAATTCTCTCAGTTTTTGTCTGAGAAAGTCTTTATTTATCCTTCACTTTTGAAGGATAATTTCACTGGATATAGAATTCTAGGTTGGTGGGCGTTGTCTTTCAACAATTTATGTTTCACTCTACTCCCTTGCATGCATGCATGTTTTCTAACATCACATTTTAACAGAACTATAAAGAGGATTCTAATTAACAAATATAAAATTTGTTCTTCCCCTTTTCCATACAGCTAAAATGTTCATAAATATTCACATGATTTCTAAAATATGTTTAATTCCCTAAAGAATAAAAGTAATTGCTTTAATGCTGAAATATGTTAGATAACACTGCTTTTTGATATTTTCCTATTATCTGTTATATGTGTTCATGTATCTTTGTTTCTGTATCCCCAGTTCTTCTCAAGACCTTGGTTTATCTTGTTTTTCTCCTCAATGAATTCCAGGGTGTCTACATAATTTGGAAAGAGACAGACCAAACATGACTTTTTATTAATAAGTGAGGAAGTAAAATTCTCATGAATGCAGGTCAAACAAAGTGAGAGTCACTTCCTAGCAGAAATCTTTTTCTAGCAGCCCAACTCACTGCATTTCTTTTGCATTTCAGATTGTAAAAAAATAGATTCAACTGGTAGGGGGAGTGGGGATCAAATACTCCCTAAGAGCACTTCAAATAGACATGTTTTGTGTAGAATTTTCCCCCCTGAATATGAATAATCTGGCCACCACTTTGCTTTTCTTAACCTAATTGAAACTCCCTAAGTAAAATAGCATATTTTATGTGAACTTACTTTAAAAACTTATCTGGGGGGGGACCGGCCCGTGGCTCACTCGGGAGAGTGCGGTGCTGATAACACCAAGGCCACGGGTTCGGATCCCATATAGGGATGGCCGGTTGCTCACTGGGAGAGCGTGGTGCTGACAAGACCAAGCCAAGGGTTAAGATCCCCTTACCGGTCATCTTTAAAAAAAAAAAAAAAAAAAAAGATCCCCTTACCGGTCATCTTTTGGGAAAAAAAAAAAAAAAAAACTTATCTGGGAATCTAGGGGCTTCTACTCCTTCAGAAGGGTTTCTCAACCAAATCCACATGTTTCTGCCACATAAAGTCAGCCCAGTAGATGTACATGATTTTCTTGATTTGATGGGGAAAAATTCAAAGCCAAAGTTTTTCTTGCATTTTCAGAGATATTGAAAATGTCCCCCATCTGAAGAGGAGCACTTAAAGATTTCCGGATATTTAAACCCATTATACCTCAAAATATTTGTGGGTTAGTATTAGTGATAATAAAAACAACACTCACCCCGCAACTCTGTCATTTCTTGAACTCCCAGACAGAGGCCACAAAGGTCTTAAGTAAGTTAGGTTAAACTGATTTATGTTAATCCAAATTAGATTTCTTTCTGTTTAGGAACAGGAAAGAGATGGTTATGATCGAGGAGGGGAAGACCAGAGAAGGGAGAGGGTAACAGTAGCTAACTGGATTCTTAAGAACATTATAAACATGTAAAAGACTGAACAAATACTTTTTATTTTAAAATGCTGAAGGTACAGCTGATCGATTAGCTCAGCTGATTAGAGTGCAATGTTAGAACACCAAGGTCAAGGGTTCGGATCCCCGTACCAGCCAGCCGCCAAAAAAATGAATACATAAAACAAAATACTCAAGGTAATATGAGATGTTTTTAAAATGAGATGGCTTTGGGCCAGCCCGTGGCTCACTCGGGAGAGTGCGGTGCTGATAACATCAAGTCAAGGGTTAAGATCCCATATAGGGATGGCCGGTTTGCTCACTGGCTGAGCGTGGTGCTGACAACACCAAGTCAAGGGTTAAGATCCCCTTACCGGTCATCTTATAAAAAATAAATAAATAAAATAAAATAAAATGAGATGGCTTTTCCTCTTATTAATTGATTCTTTCATTTCTCTGCTCCATCCTGCTCTTCACATTGGATACCTTTTCTTTTTAAATTTTTTATGGAACTATAACATGACCAGAGAAAAGTACATCAATAAAAATTTTTAAAAAGTACAAGCCAATGAATAGTGAACACACCTATGTAACGAACACTTAGGTCAAGAAATAGAACATTACCAGCACCCCATACCTCTCCCAGTCACCATCTCCCCCCTTAAAGGTAACCATGATCGTGATTGGTTTTGCTTTTGAACTTTACATAAATGAAATTATATAATTAATATCTTTTGTAACCACGAATTATCTTTTTTACTTTTTTTGAACATTCGGGTTATTCTAGTTTGGGGCAACTATACATAGAACTGTTGTGGAACATGTATTTTAGTGCATAAGAATGCATTTCAGTCAGGTATATATACCTATATTGCTGGATCATAGGGTTTGGATTATGTTCAGCTTTAATATATATTGCCACCAGTTTTCCAAAGTATCATTGTGCCAATTTACACTCCCACCAGCCATACTACAGATCATCTGAATTGTTATGTCATAAATTTGGGGTCACATGATTGCACTGAGCACAAGTCTGGATAAATGAAAGCCACTGTTAATTCCTATGACAGTGCTTTAATTTTATAGAAACTGGGCTTCATAGGTAGCCTTTAGGGGATCTCTGTACACCCTGAAAATATTTACAATATTTTTATATTTATGCATTTGTGTGTTTGGGGGATAGAAGAACCCCACATCACATCAGATTCTCAAATATAGCATTTCCATACTTGGGAAAACTGGTGGCAATATATACTAAAGTAAACATAATGCTGTCCTTGGCAAAAATACAAAAAGCTTAAGAATGACTGCTTTCTGGGACCCAGCAATCAAGAAGCTATTTTTACTCAGGCATACTTTGCTTGTTATAAATACTGTTCTAGGTTGTTCATACTTCCAATCTAAGACCTCACAGAATAGCCAGAGTGATCAGTTTAATACCTAAATCATCTTGTGTCACTTCCCTGCTCAACATCATCTGATGGCTGCCCATCACTCAAAAAATAAAATCCAGAATCCTTACCATGACCTAAAAAGCCAAAAGCAATCTCATCCTTGCCTATATCTCTTTTCTTATTCTGGCTCTAGCTACATTGGCCTTCTTGCTGTCTCTCGAATACACTAAAAACATGCTCCTGCTTCAGGAGCTTTGCATTTGCTGTTCCCTCTGCCTAGACAGTTTTCCTCCAGATAACTGCTTGGCTAACTCCCTACGCAGATCTCTGCTCAGATATCTCAGGTCTTCCCTAATCACCATATCTAAAGTATAACTTCCTTCCACACAATCACAAATAAAATAATTTGGGCGTCTGACATTGTGCTAGTTTTTGTGAAGCCACACTTTTTTTTATTGGCTTTACTCTCATTCTAAGTTCCACCCTTCTGGTCTGGTCAAGATGGCAGAATAGACAGTCGGCAGCATCACTCTCTCCCACAAATCAACCAATTTACAACCATAAAGAAGCAACAAC